TTTGAGGGACACATTCATACCATAGCACTGTCCCAGTTATATAATGGCACTCTGATTTTATGCACCAAACTCATGACTCTAATTAATGTCAGAGAAATTTAGGTATCAGTCTTGATTCTCTCTTTCCCTCACCCCAATATCTCCTATGTATCAACAACCCCAGTTAATTATGCAAATATATGTTTTAAATCAATCCTTTTCTTTCCATCTCCTGTCACCATTCCAGTCCAGGCTGCCATCATCTCTGGATTTGGCAATGGCCTCCCAACTGGTGGAACTTCTGATTTCTACCTTTGCCCACCTCCAATTATGATGCTCTAGTCCAAACCATTTCACAACAACCCCAAGCTTTGCATTGTACGGTGCCCCATGATCTGGCCCTTTTTTCTCTCTCTAGTCTGCATTGGGCCTCTCCACCCTCGCTCTCAACATTCCATCCTTGCTGCTCTTTTACTCTAACTTCTATTCTAACAGGTCAAACTCTTTCCCATTCTGGCCTCTTCTTACAGCTTTTCCCACTGCCTGGAGCCCACTTGTCCCCATGCTCTAGATACTGGCTTTTTTCTTTCCTTTAGGGCTCATCTTAAAGACTTCTACTCAAAGAGGTCTTTCTAATTCATATTAATTTTAAAAACATTCCTACTATTATTTTCTATTTCAGCTCCTTGCTTCGACATAATTTTTTTTTAATTCCAAAAAATTAAGGGGGTACAAATGTTTTTGTTACATAAATACCTTGTGTACTGTTTCTGTCAGGGCTTTTGGTATGCCTGTCACCTGCATAGTGTTCCTTGTACCGACTGGGTAAATTTTTATGTCACATCTCCCCTCTCACCCTCCTCCCTTGTTGGTTTCCGATGTCCTCTATACCTCTTTGTGCCCATGTGTACCCATTGTTTAGCTGCCGCTTATTAATGAGAACATATGATGTTTGATTTTCCATACCTTAGATACTTCTCTTAAGAAAATGGTCTCCAGTTCCATCCGAGTTGTTGCAAATCACATTATTTCATTCCTTTTTATGGCTGACAAGTACTGCACACACACACAGACACACAGACACACACACACACAGACACACACACACACACACACACACACAGAGACACACATTACATTTTCTTTATCCAATTGTGAATTGATGGAGACTTAGGTTGGTTCCATCTCATTGCAATTGTGAATTGTGCTTTGATAAACATTCAGATACAAGTGTCTTTTTGAAACTCGTGCTTCACTACCAAATCTGGAATATTTATGAAGGTATTACTGCTTGTGGATAATTGCCAATTGGATTTCTGTAGGGGAAAGTGGAGTTAGATAACTAACTCACTATCTTACTAATGTCATTAAGAAATAAGTATTTAGATTTTATTCTAATTTAAAAACAGATGTATATGGGAGAAATTTTAGTTTATATTATCCTAAAATTATTGAAATCACAAAATAAAAACTGTTATAGAAATATGACTACTATATATACCAATAACTATGTATTCTAGATTTTTTTCAGCAAGCTCTGAATTTATATAACTGATTTGTAATAAATAATTAACTGCATAATGTAAAGGACTTGGTTGTTAAAACTTTATAAAGTTAAATAATTTTTGTAGGGAAGGATCAGTTAAAATAGAAATAGGCAACTTCTTAGATGGACTTTCTTTTAAATATGAGTTCTAATAGAAAGATATCTTGATTTCTTCAATATAGATGTGATGTTATTACCTGCTTACTGTTATGCCTCATCAAGGTCCCAAGCTTCTCAGTCATTTTTCTCTTAGAAGAGCTTAATTAAAATAATGAGAAAATAATAGCAAATTCTGGAGTAACTGTCAGAGTGCTTCATTAGTTTATCTCATCAATTGGTGGAAAAGAAAATTATGAAATTTCAGAGTTTTTATTAGATGTATAACATGTATAGCAAACAAAACCTCTGAATCTAATAATGTATTTAAAAATATTATTGATTAAATTTAATACCATTCATTTGACTTCCTGGATGAAAAACTTGGTAATTACTGAACAATTATTGCACAATAAACCTTATATTATACATCTATTTACAAATCATAAACGTTAATGAATACATCATCAAAAAACTTAACTATTTTTCAGTCATCACTAATTTATCCCTTGTATGGAACACATGAATCAAGTAATGAGAATTACAAATCACTAATTTATCCCTTGTATGGAACACATGAATCAATTAATGAGAATCAAGTAATGAGAATTACAATGTTAACTATACCTTTTTTAGTATCCATGCCAAAAGGCTTCAGGTTAATAGTTTGACAATTTTCCTTTGCGAATTCTGTTGGTAAGAATTCTGTTGCCTATCTCTGCCAAAACTTAATCTTTATGATCTCTCTTATCATTTATAAAAATTTTAATTTCTGAACTTTTCAGCTGTGTATATTAATTTCTTAGATATTTAACTTCTGTATATTTTGTATATACTTAATTTATACAACCAAAAGATGGCAGTGCTTCATCAACTATTCTTTTACTATAGTCCTTAATATTTATTTTCATGTAGTCGAAATCTATTGAGTGTAATATTTTCGTACTTTAAGAGTAAAACTACATTCAATTTTAACAACTCTTCAATAAATATTTTAATTTGGGGGATCTAAATAATGATAGATTTATCTTTTACAAAGAATATAAGAAAATAAAAGCTTCATAATAATTTCAAATGGGGCATACTCTAAGTGGATATTTTAAGCACTCTTATGCAGCACTTCTCTTGGCTTTATTTGATTAGTTGCGTATGAATCTCACTGAAGACAGATCTTTGAAGACCTATAGAGGTCTCTTTCTATTAATACAATGATCTTGATTTCACTTCAAAGAAATTGAAGCCTATATTTATGCTTTCATATGTGCCAAAGTGAGGCTGAATATTAAAGCTGTGCAATTGGAGCAAAGGCAGTATACAAGTATTTCTAATTAATACACCATCAATGTAATGAAAGAGATTTTCATGTTTAAATATAGTAGTACTAAAAGTCCACTGAATTTGTACATGAAGGATAATTCACTCAATTCTTAAAATTTTTCTCACTGCCCATTATATTAAAAACTAAATTTCTCTAGCAATCCTTATCACCTTCCTTACCTCTTGGTTATTTCTATAATCAAAATACAACAGTAATCCATTTTGGTGTTTTACTGTTTATATTAATGTAAATAACAAACAATTTCAATGCTACTAAACTATATCCAATTTCATTATCTAATCTCTATTTCTTCCTCTTATAAGAAAGTTCACCAATACTTATGACTATGTTAGATTTAGTATGGAATGTCAAACTCCAGATATTGTGTTTATTTTCCAACTTGCTTAGTGACCAAGACAGCCTTAACATTCCTCTCAGTTTGTCTGAACTTTAGACAAGTTTATTCCTGAGTATAGGTCCCTGATTTTCATTTTCCTAGAATATTTACTTAATCAAACTTACAACTCAAAATTCTTCCTTCACTTCCTTGATATGTAAGTCTTCTCTTAGCCCCTTGACAGCTTTACAACCCAAGAATGTTTTTCTCGAGAACCTGGAAGAAATCCCTTTGAAAAGTAATCATAAAGAAAGATAGCACCCATATCTCCCAATTTCTATAGGAGGGTAGGAGCTTGGCTTGGATAAGTCTCAATGAGCAAACACAGCTGGCCTAATCACATTGGCCACTCTCCCCCTTTATGTCCTTAGTACTTTTCCACCAGCTTACGCTCAAATGCTTAAAAACTCTCCTGTCTTTTGTTTTAATTGAATCGAGTTTGATCTCTTTCCCTTATTCCAATAGCCTTGAATTAAAATTTTTCTGTCTCTTTAGCTCTACTGAGTGCAGTTTGGGGTTCAGAGGGAGCATTATTTTCTATTGTTGGAATTGCTGGGAGAAAACATGTCACAAAAGGATCCCAGTAATTCTTTTCATCAAGGAATTGTTTGAGACAGAAGAAACCCATCTTTTCTTGGCATTGTTTTCTTTTAATACAATAAAAAACGCCTTGCTGCTTAATGAGTGCAGGCAATTTCAGGAGCATACTAAGGCAGGATCTTGGTGGCTCTTGGCTGTTGTGTCCATTTCTTCACCCATTTCCCAGCCACTTCCATAACTTCATGGAATCATCTTTCATCAAGAAGCCATGGTTAAGACTAGCAAATCTTGTTACCCAAAAATGTATTACATAACAAACCCTATTTAGAACTTAGATAAGTGATAGTAAAGAGAAGGTTGTCACAGGCCAAGCACAGACAGAAATATATGGATGTTTCTTGAGGTCTAAAACTTATATAGCCTGGGAAGTCTCATTTAAAAAAAAAATATTGAATATAAAAGTTGCTGATGCTATTCCCTAGGGCTTCAGATGGGCCTGACCAGTGAGGGGTTCTGGAGCTGAGGCATTTCACCCTCCCTGGAATGCAGCTACTTGAAACAAAGTAGGTTTAGTATGTGAGGAAAACCACACACAGAAACACACACACACAAAAGAAAAAAAATGACTTTACAGTAAGTAAATGGTCCAGAGCCTCAGTCAGAATTCAGAATTATCAAAATCCCTCTGTAGGATAAGTTAAACTCAGAACTCAGGACTCAAAGCAGATCTCAGAGAAAAATAGAAGAAAGAAATGAGATAACAATTACAAAGATTCATGTCAAATAATTCATTTTTTCCTTTTTCTCTTCATTTTTGAGTATTTTTCTAGCCAATGACTGTATCATATAGAGTTGAGTTTAGGAAACAGATGTGAGCTGATTAAAGGGTTAACTACAGATAACAGGACAAAAGAATGGAGATATATATATATATATATATATATATACACACATACACTATTCGTGTGTCACATGTACTCCATTCAAGAGCACAGGAAGAGCACTATGCTTCTATTTTCCTTTCTATCCCCTCCTACTTGAATTTAATCCCAGGAGCTGACAGTGAAATAGTGACAAAATAGGCACACAAACTTTGACAGGGTTCTGTCTGATTTTGTTTTTAGTTTGTTTTGGAAGACATTGAAAGGAAAGAACAGGTGGAAAATAAATGAAGGATGAACAAAAATAATCGATGCTTGTTGCTGAACATAGGAATAATTAAAACAGCAAACATGGATACTTTAACCAAGTAAGTGCTCCTTGGAAAGACTCATTTCTATCTTGTCAAGCTTCTTGACATGCCATTCCTTTCTATCTGTACCTAAAGTTTTTGAGCTAATTATACAAATTAGTAATATTGTCTAATATTTTAAATCAATAGTGAATGGCAACTTAGAGTTTGCGTAACTATGAAAAGGTAGAGAACTACATTAAGAACCTGACATTATATTGGAAGGTAGCTTCTATGACTGCACCTCCTACACCTTGACACTTCACTTTGTCTTCCTGAAAATTACATTAAAGTAGTACTTTTCATCTCACAATAAGCTTTCACGTGTGCTCTGCTGGTATAAAATATAAGAGCAATCTGACCCAGTTGCAAAGTCAGGAGGGAATTCATGGTTTTGCTTTAGTTATTATTTATGTGCTTCATTTTCATTCCTAGAAAAGTGAGAATAATGGCTTTTTTACTTCATGGAACAGTATGGAGATATTACTGTATCACTGGTGATTGAGAAGAGATCTTTAAAAAGGGATATTCATCTGGGTGTATGATAGCTTTCTAAGGGATCCTTCTATGCAATCAGTTTCAAGAAAATCAATTTCCAGATTCTCAATTTTCATGTATGGTATTTTCAAAAATCATTCGGACAGTGTACTCGTATGATAAAGATCCAACTTCCCTTGATCATCTCCCTTGTTCTCAATTGCTGTTCTTCAACTTTGCAAGTGTGCACACACAGACAGACAGACAGACAGACCGACACACACACACGCACACACACACACATACACGCTAACATCTCCCACCATTCTTCAACTTTAACTCTGAAGCATTGTTGTACACATAAATGTCTCCATGTTTTCAGACAGAAGAAGGTTTGGAGATATGGACTGGATAACAAAAGCTTTTGTTAATCAAATGGTTTCCAAATATTTACTCTCAATAAATCCAGGAGTGCCTAATCAAGTCATTAGCTGACAGATCATGAAGATAAATTTTTGATAATTAATTTTTCTATGATGTTTGCTATGTAACTGGAAAGGATTTTAGAGACTTGGTTAGCCTCACAATGACAAAACGTTCCGTGTTTTCTTATTTTTATATAATAGGTATTTACATCTATAGAAAAGGACAAAATAGTAATAAAATAGATGTTACATTAAGCCTCATTCTACCAGTAAATAATGTACATCTGCAGATATAAGAAATACTAATTGGAGGAGAAACTTTTCTCTACCTCATTAAGAGAATTATTTCCAACAAAATTTGACATTCAAAAAATAATTGTGTAGTAAAACTATAAGTTACTTATACTGTTTTGTTCAATTAAAACTAATAAAAATTGTTTATATGATTATATTTTATACTAAGATATTTAAGATCATAAGACAGTCTGCCAACTATATATTAGTTTGCATTAGAATAATATTCTTTGGGGAATTTGAATGAAAATACTTTAAAACCTTCTAAATTTATAATGGAAAATATTAAACAAAAACAATGAATGAGACATACAATTATACATAATTCCTTTGGAAGGTACACATGTCAAAATCAGAGAGTACTAGTTGTGACCATTACAGAGGCATCTGAAGGGCATCAACCTGTGTCCATAATAGCTAGCATATAAAGTTCTGACACAACACAAAAAATATGTTAGTATGTGTCAAAAGCATTTCCAGAACACTTGTTGAAACCTTTTATTTATTTAATTTGCAAATGATGTTAGGAGAATCTTCAAATTTGGCAGTGGATATTTTTATAGAATTTTATGCATGCCCATATTGTTTATGAAACCACAAAACTCCTTTCTTTACTTTCCTCCTCATGAAGGTAAATTGAGAACATAAAGGAAATGTGATCATGTAAGAGGGAAGATATTTATGGAAAGGAGTGATAATATTAATTATTAAATTTGCTTAGACTTTTTCTATGTAGCTTATTTTTAGAAATTATTTCAGCTTAGACATGAGAAAATAATTATTTAGGATATTTAATTATATATCATATTTAATTATTCATGACATGTAAAAAAAATATATGTATATATATTTAGTATTTTTACCCTCCACTGAGAAACAAGCTTCAGATCACATCGATCTTTTTTAATAAGATGGTAGATACAGTTGAAGAAGGATGCCAGGGACCAGGGTCATTGCCGAAATGAAGTGAGCTGCTTGCCTGGGCCACTTACCCAGTATGAGTGGCTGCCAAAGAAAATTGAACTTGAAAGGAGGCCAGGAAACAAACATTCCTACAGACTCTTTTTAGAGTAATGTAATTTTAATTTTAATGTTCTTCAGAAAAGAGGCTAAAGGATCAGTGGCCCTTATGCCTTCCAGAGTTCCAATGCTAGCAAACCACCGCCAAAAGCACACTAAACTTGAAGTGGACTGTCTTTGGAAGTCACAGACGTGATTGAAGGGCAGGTGTTAGAAACAAAGATGTAACCATATTACTTACCTTAACAAAATCTTGTTCCAGAATCTTATTAACTCTTGTATAAAATACAAAGGCTTCATCTAGCATTCAAGAGGTCGAGGCCTTGGGTGGGACACTCCTGCACAACGTCACATTCTCAAATTTCACCATCCTTTCTCTTTATTGGACTTAAAACATTTTTATTGATTTATTACAGCTGTACTTATTTTGGGAGTACATGTGATACTTTGGTACTGGTATACAGTGTATAATGATCAAATCAGGGTCATTGGGAAATCCATCACCCCAAACATTTGTATTTTCTTTGTGTTGGAAATTTTATAAATCTTCTTTTCTAATAATAATAAATTATTGTTAACTGTAACTTCCCTGCTGTACTTGGGACACTAGAGCTTATTCCTTAATCTAAATGTATTTTTGTACCTCTCGACCCCACATTTGTATTGGATTTTTTAGTTCCTTTCTGATCTTTACCATATTCAATTGTGCCCAAGGACTTCCATGTGTATAGCTTCCTCAGCAAGGGATCTTACAAAATGACTATCTAACTTCATTCTACCATTAAGTCTCAACTTTAGTGTCATTTCTTCATATAACTTTCCCTTAATCTAGTTTTCCTTGCATTTGTTTTTCTATCCCAAAGCCTGCAAAGGAGGAGGGAATACAGGGATGAGAACTTGGCAACTAATATTTATGGAGCTCTATCTGTCAGGTGCTCATTAACTCTTTTATTCATTACCACTACCAGATGAAGTAGATACCACCATATTATTATCTTTACTTCCAAAATAAGTATTAGACTCTGATTGTAGTAACTTGTCCAAGGTGACATAAAGAGTAAGTGGCAGGTAATTACTTTTGAGATGTGTGACTTTCTTATGAATTCTTTCCCTCTGTAAGAGCAGTGGCCAGTGTCTGTCTTGCTCATCTTTGTGTACATCTTAACACCTGGCACAGTGGAAATTTGGTAAATATTTATGGGTTAATTGAGTTATACAGATAATATGATGGTGAGACAGTTTTATTTGTGTGTTATAAAGTGTCATGGAATATGAAAAATGTTTATGGGTAAGAATTGCAAAAGCTGTGTTTTTTTCCATGTGTAATAAATAAAAGTTTTTACTTACCTGGGGAAGCTGTCCATGTAGTTTCATCTCAGAGAGTAGTAAATACTATTCTAAAATATTTAGTTGTCCAAAATAGTATTTATAACATTGTCAGTAGAGTCCATCATCTGCCTTATTTTATGAATATCATTAAATTAAAAAAAATTGAAGAGTAAGAAAAAAAGCTCTTAAAAATTGTATTGTAGGTAACCATGTGAGATTATTTAATTTTCTTTAATTGAGTATTTTTATTGCATAATAAATAAATAAAACCATGCTATTATAATAATCACAGTCATGATAGAGAAAGCAGAAAATACAGATAAGCAGGAAAGAAGAAGAGTGATGACTGAATTCACTGAAATCATATAATCACTATTGAAATTTGACTATATTCATTTACCTGTTACCTAATAGACATACTAAATTATCACAAAAAAGGAGTTTGAAATAGCCTTCTTATTTGAGAGACCTGAACAAGCTGAAATCTATTAAAAAATGTATGCCTGGGAATTTCACCACACCAAAGGTCAACAGTTTTTATGAGCATTTCTAGGAGATTTATTTAAAAAAAAAAAAAAAACTAATGTAAAGAACTAATTCATTACCAATGCTGATGTCAAAGCAATAGATTTCTCATCTTATTTTGTGCTTGGTTAATGTTTGAAGAAGAGTGTGAAAAATGTTTTTTTCAAGCACAATTTTCTTAAAAATGCCGCTTTTATAACATTTTATCTACTGTTGCTTGGATTAAATACTAATAGTCTGATAAATTCCCTTTTCTCAAATTTGAAATTAATTAATCAGTGTGTTTTGATTGCTACTACAATTATAAATCTCTTAGCACTACGTAGACATATTAACTATATATATATACTTATATATGTATTAATTTGGCAGTTTATTTTTAATGCCTAAAAGTTATACTATTATTCTAATGCAGTTTGATGCTGAAGTATTTATAGTCAATTGTTGGTTTTCTTCTGAACAGCTTTTATACTGAACCCTTTATTTTCTTAGAATACAAAATTTCATTAAGTCTGAACAATTCTTCCATTTTGCAGGAGTGTCAATAAAGTCTAGACTTCTGACAGAATTCCAGTTTGCAATCAGTTACAATTCTACCATATATCAAGAAAAGCTCTCCTTAAGCAATTTAGAAAGGCATTTGGAGATAGCTGGCAACAAGATAGTTTAAGTATAGGCAATATTCTATTGGTAAGTGATTTATAAGGCTGCACATCTAGACAAGTATCCAATACTTCCATGTGGAATTTCTGATTTGTTTTGCAGACCCAGAAAATATGACCATATTACAAAATTTTAAAGTATTTAGTTTTTTTCAGCATTTGATTTAAGAAAATATGAAGACTCTATTTTAAATTCCAAGTTTTGTGATGAATAAAAAGTCAAAACCAAAATAGTAAGATATGTATATTAAAGAATATTGAAACAAATTAAATTTGATATGAATAG